GTCCCGGGAGGGCGGCCGGGCTCACCTGGGCGGCCCTCCGCACCTTCCGGTACAGGCTGTTTCCGTGGAGCGGGTCCGGGGGTCCCGCGAACACTGCGGCGGAGGCGGGGCTCAGGGAGGGGGTGCCGCGGCCTCCACGGGCGCTGCCCCAGCACTGACGTGGGCCCGAGACACCACCTCTGGCCTCTGCTCCCTGAAGGGCCCAGCCCCAGCCTGGGGCGCCCACAGGGCCAGCACCCAAGCCAGCCCAGGGCCCCATGGGCGCCATCCGCGGCCACCTCCCACCAGCCCAACTCTCCAGGTCTCCACCCGGGGCGGGGTCTCACCCAATCAACCCTGTCGGGGGGCTCCTCTTCCTCCCCGGAGGGCCCCTCAGTGGCTCACCCCAAAACCCCACCCCTGCTCCCCAGCTCAGGAGCTTCGGTTCTGAGAAACTGGGTTTCCAACATGGCACGAGACCACCCCAAGTCCTCCCTGCCTGGGGCCTGGCACTGCAAGGAGCACCCCCTTCGGTCAGGCTGGGTCTGTGGGTGGCCTCCCTGCCCCTGTAGCACAGCGCCTCCCTTTTCGCCCCTGAGGCGCCATGTCCCCTGCAGGCACGCCAGCAGTGGAAGCGTCCCCAAGCAGCGGCCAGCAGGTGGAGAGCGCCCCACTGCTGCCACCACGGCAGCACCCCGGCCCCGCGTGCAGCCTTCGTGCCTGCAGACCTGCACCCCTGCACCCGCACCCCTCCTCCAGCCCGGCCCCGCCCCACCTTGCTGGCGAGCAGAAGGGGGCCGCCCTGTCCAGCTCAGGGGACCTCAGCCATGTGACCGGCACAGCTCTGGGCCCTGGACGTCCACTGAGTGCTGGGAGCGCAGGCTCCAGGCTGCGCTCCTGCCTGTGAGGGGCCTGGTGGGTGACCTTGGCCTCGGGACCCACGGAGAAGGGGCAGCGAGGGTTTTGGGGTATGGGGTGAGTCATCCCTGGGTCTGGAGAACGGGACACGTTTGAAATCGGCTATTCTGTGTGAGTGTGGCCTCTTGGGGGGGCCGTCCGTGAGCTCGAGGACCCGAGGCGCCAGGTGCAGGCAGGGGGGTTCCACCTGGCCAGGCTTGGCCCCCACAGTGCCCCCCAAGGCTTCCCAGTGCCCCCACAGGGGAGGGGCAGCCATGGCTGAGCACTGCGTGCAGGCGCTGTGGGCAGCAGGCGCTGGATGGTCCTGTGGGCAGCGCAGGACCAGGGAGGGCTGGGGGCGGGCGCACCCAGACCGCCGCACCTGTGGCCTCCTGGATGAAGGCGGGGTTGCGCTTGAGCAGCAGCAGGAAGGCTGGGGAGCCGTGCGCACACAGGTGCAGCAGGATCTTCAGAACCTGGGGGGCAGTGGGCTGGCTGGCTCCGGCCCCTCGCCCCAACGCCCGCCCCTGGCTGGCCCTGCCCGGCCTCACCTTGAGCTTCACGTGGCCGGAGCCGCCGTGCAGGCGGCCCAGCAGGTACTCCAGGAGGCACTGGCTGCTCCCCGGAGACTCGTGGGAGATTTCTGGGAGCGCGGGTTAGGGGAGCAATGAGCTCGGGTGTGCGCAGAGGTCAGACCTGGCAGCCGGCGGGGCTGCACCCCCAGCGTGTGGTCCCTGGACGCACCCCTGCCCCTCACGCACCCTGGCCCGCCCCACCCGGAGGAGCCGGGCCCCTTGGCTGCGGCCACAGGGCGGCAGAAGGATACTGGAGATCTCCTCAAACAGGTAGCCCGGGCACGGGGCCTCGTCGTCGGACGTGCCCTTCAGGAGGACGGGAAGCTGCGGGCGAGGCCCTGCCGGTGAGGCCGCCGCCAGAGCCACGGGGGACGGCAGGCGCCTCCCCGTGGGCAGCGGGATGCCCCCGCCCACCAGGGTCCTTGGTAGGGGCTGCCAGGCGGGCCCTGGGGTGCGCCCCGCAGCAGGGCTGCACCTGCCAGGCCGAGTGGGCAGCCTGCGCCTCTGAGTGCGGGTCCTGCTCTGGTGAGGC